CCTTTGGGGAGATGGTGGCGGGTTAGAAATAAAGTGTATTACATTATTATTATTATTATTATTATTATTATTATTATTATTATTATTACTATTGTTGTTGTTGTTGTTATTCTGCAGGCGCAGAAAGTGTGCACACCTGCCTGCAGCTGAGAGCTTCCTCTAGAGTAGAGAAACAGGTCAGAAGCCTCCTCAAAGCACATGCCAGCCTACAGCTGAGCACCTCTCCTCTAGAATAGAAACAGCTTAAATACCTAAAATGGTGGGAAGGGGAGCCTGTGAAGCTCCCCACCCCCATAATGGGCCAATAGAAAACTGATCTTTTGGGATCCCAGAGCTCTCTCGATATTGGGAGGCTCCTAAAAGTTGGATCAGGGCCCCAAACGAAAGCCAGGACACTAAACAGGTCAAGGTTTACCCAGATTGCACAAGCCTATTGTCCACTCCATGCCTAAAACCTCACCATGCTACCAAAAAGGAAGGGAATAAAAGATTTAGGGCTGCATTGGTAAAAATATGCTAATAAATAACGACATCCAGCAAAAGAGGGAATACATGTGCTGCTGCAAAAGGACTGCTTGTACTCTTTAAGCCAACTCATACTCCACTGCAAGACAAAGCTAGGTCCATCTGTGACAACAGTATGTTAGCTTTCAATGCTCACTAACTTGTTTATCATTAAAATCATACAGGAAAAGAAATTGATGGTATAGGGTCTTTGGCATGCATTACAGACCCCAAAGGCCATCCAGTCTAACCCTCTGTCATACAGAAACACATAATCAAAACACTCCCAATAGATGGTCATCCAGCCTCTGTTTAAAAGCATCAGGAGTAGAAGACTTTGGCTCCCTCCACACAGTGGAATAAAATCCCACATTTTCTGCTTTGAACTGGAAAAAATGGCAGTGTGGGCTCAGATAACCCACTTCAAAGTAGATATTGTGGGATTTTCTGCTTTGTTATTCTGGATTATATGACTGTGTGGAAGGGTCCTTTGTCACACTTTAAAGCAGCATATTTCACTGTTGACAGGTCTTCTTTCAAAATGTTCTTCCTAATATTCAGGTGGAATCTCTTTTCCTGCATTTTGAATCCTTTGCTCTGTGTCCTAGGCTGTCTATAGTGGTATTAAAGTTCATGTTTGTATGTGCGTGCACTGACAAAGATGGAAGCACCAGACAAGAGCTTGAAGCACTACCAGCTAAATAAAAGAAGTAGGCTAACAAAAAGCAGTTACTGGCTGATTCATCTGAAAAGGTTATGAAATGAACCACAGACAAGTAAACAGAAGGAGATCTTCAAATGTATTTTCCTATTCAAAATATTGTGGAGCTGCAGATAGAGAGAAACTACTTTGACAGCACTGAAATGAGGTCTAATCAACATAAAGCAAACAAAGATAGAAAACCAAACATTAGCAAAAAAAAAAATCAGTTGGAGTCCTCCTGCAAAGACTGCAAACTGAATTAATGGAAGAGTGAATGAACGCCTTAGCTCTACTGGAAACACACAGGGAAGAAAAAAATAGTAAGAAGAGAGCAAGAAGCACCCCAATTTATTTATTATTTTATTTATTTGCAATATTTGTATACCACCCTTCTCAACCTCAAAGGGAACTCAGGGCAGTTTACAGTGTTGGCAACAATTCAACGTCATCAATAAAAACAGTATAAAACATTAAAATTGACCCTCCTCTAATAAAACATTAAACATTATTAAACATATCACATAAAATAACATCACCTATCACACAGAGACATAGTTGTTGTTCTCTCTGTGTTGTTGCTGAAAACAGTTCTGGGTCATTGCACTTTCAACTTTCATTTTAACTTTAAATATTCCTATGATGGGCCGAATACTTGGTTCCACAGCCAGGTCTTTAGCTGTCTCCTAAAGGTCAGGAGGGAGGGAGCCAACCTCTGACCTCTGTGGGGCCACCACCGAGAAGGCCCTGTCCCTTGTCCCCACCAGCCGCACCTGTGAGGCCATTGGGGCTGAGAGCAGGACCTCCCTGGAAGATCTTAATCTATGAAGCATTTGATATGGCCACAAAGTGTAGCTATCACATCAAGTAGGGAATAAGTAAGGTCATCTTGTGGGAGGGCTGATGGAGATGAAGGCCACCTCTCTTAACCACAAGAGGACTGAAGTCAAAGGCAGTAAAATACATTCATTCTTTTAATGCAGAGGATCGCCAACTTAAAGGACTGGTATTTGGGTCAAGGTAGCTTCTCTTGACCAAGCCGAGCTCTGCCATCTCTGTTAAGAATGAAAAGTGTTTGAGGAGGGAGAGGCTATGGGGGAAGATTTCCTGTTGAGTAGAAAGGCGGAATGGAGGAGGCAGAGTCCAGTGCTTATGTATCAGTACTTGTCCTGTGGGTTTCAAAGGAAGCAAGTGGGGTGACTCACTGGTTTTTACACCCAGACTGGCATGCACAGCTTAAGAAGATTATTTATGTAATGCCAGTGTATAGTCCACATACTTTGGATAATTGTACACCAGAGGTTTCCAAGCTTGGTGTCCAGATATTGTTTGACAACAATATCCCTTGTCCAATAGCCATAGAGCTTCTGGAAATTGTGGTGGGAACAAGAGAGATTTATGAGTCAAACTTCAGGTAACAGGAAGCTGTGTTAGACTTTTGAAAATAATCACAGAAATGAATCTAGGTGTGCTTCCATAGCCATGAAGAGGGGCTGGAGACTTTTAGGCTGTTTTCAAACCATGATGCAAGAGGCTGACTTATTCCAAAAGATAATGATTCCATATTAGCAAAACTTAGGATTTGGATGTTATAGTAAACTAACATTAGTACACAATGAAACACAAGCTTCCAGCCTCTTCCATATGGGATGCAGTCAGAGAAGCTTGCAAGTCTAAGACTTCCTAAGGTGTGTTCCTTAACCATAGGCCACCTTTTTCATTGTGCCCAGATTTAGCTATTATTTTCTGATGCTACTGGGTTTAATTAGCTTCAGTGTCCCTGTTAGTGAATTTATGAGAAACAATCCCTGTAGTTTTTATTCCTGGCACAGTTTACTGTTCGGTGAGGCAATTATCTTAATAACTACAGGACCCATATCTGCAGTTTCACTCTAGGAAATTGCTTGGTCCTTCCCCCAGAAGTTGCCATAGAGTCACACTGGGAGACCTAGCAATTTCCTAGAGAGGATACTATTGAAACCACTCTAAGTACGAGGATTATCTGGTAAGTAAGTTTACAAGATATTTTTAATATACAAAGAATGAATATATTTTAATAAAACTTACATGGATTATACTGTAGGTATTACATTATTTTGCCACATAATCACCATTCAGTTCAATACATTTTGTCAACCGTGAGTTGGGTTTTTGATGCTTGTGTAATAGAAGTTTCCCTCCACCTTTTTCAGGCAGTTTGTCACTTAGATTTTCACCTCGTCATCGTCAGAAAAGTGTTTTCCACCAAGGTGTTCCTTCAATTTAGTGAACAGATGATAATCACTGGGTCCAAGATTGGGGATGTGAGAGGGGAAACTTAAAACATCCCAACCAAATGAAGTCAACAACTCTTATGTTGCATGAGTGGTATGCAGTTGCACATTGTCATGAAGGAGACAGACTCCCACTGTCAACATCCCATGATATTTGTTTTGGATGGCTCTGCAAAGTTTCTTCATGGTCTCACAATATATTCCGTACTCATTTTGTCACATCCTGTCTTGACATTAGGTCCTCTCCATAAACTGAAACGATTTCACAATGAATCGCAGTGGCATTCATGTCCTTAGCATTTTACAGCACGAACTTTGCACTTGGAGGGAAACAGAATGAGGACGCTCATCTCTAATCTTCACCACAATGCCAGTCTATGAGCTACTGACAACTGGCACTGCTCGTTCGCTTCCGCTGGCTTCCTGCTACATGGCAGTGATACCAACTTCCCCTGCAAAAATTCCCCACAAAAGCTACATGCCTTGTAACCTTACTTTCCAGATAACCCTTGTAACTTTAGGCCCACCAGCACCACTGGTATGTTGGGACTGGGAGTCAGGTAATTTAATTAACTCAGTGGCATCCAATCATATCCTTAAGGCCCTTCCACACTGCTCTTTATCCCAGGATATGATCCCAGATTATCTGCTTTAAATTGGAATATATGAGTCCCCACTGCCAGATAACCTGGGATAAACAGAGGGATCAGATCCTGAGATATAGGAGATATAGGAGCAGTGTGGAAGGACCCTTAGTTGCAGGTCACCATGATTTGGCTAGTATTGTATCTTCTGGATACCAGGATCTTACTGTCATCTATTATTGATGGTAGCCTAAACTTTAAGAGGCTATCCATAGTGCTGAATCTGTTTCTGCAGATAGGCTTCAATGGGTTTGATTACATTGTAGAAATAATGTAGTTCAACACCACTTAAACTGCTATGACTCAATGCTATGGAATTCTGGTAGTTGTAGTTGGTTGAGGCACCAGAACTCTTTAGCAGAGAAAGCTGTAAAACTACGTCTCTCAGGATTCCATCGCACTGAGACATTGTAGTCAAACTGCATGAATTCTACTGTGTAAATGCACCCAATGTCTTGAGTGGGTCTTTGAAAGATTAGACTAATTTCCTGAGCAGATCCACCATGTCACCAACATTGAAGCCAGTCTCTGCTACGGAATTTGGCTGTGTTGTTCTAAAATTTCTCTTGGGCTATGAAACTCACTGGATGACAAGTCGCCATCACTGTCTTTCACCTTAAGCTACCTTACATCAATGTTGTGTGATTAAAATGGGCAGGTATATGTTCGACCTCTGGGTTATTTAATTTTTTTAGTGAAGTAGAATGTACTAAAAAGGAAGCCTTCGTTGCACAACTTCCTTTCCAGATATATGGCTATGGGGAGGAATGATGCCTTGGAACACTCCTCCCTCATTTGCAATAATTGTGTGTATGGGTATAATTTGCAGCAGAGGAAGTTGGTCACATCAGATGCTAACCCAATTCTCACCAAGCCATGATGTCGGCTTCCCTTGGCCTTGGTGTCCTCTTAGCATTTCTAGCCAGAGGTGAGTATCTCCTTCTGTGGTGGTGGCAATCTATATGGAATCGGCAAAAGGGTGTCCTATATGTATACCTTCATGGTAAGTGTGTGTGTGTGTGTGTGTGTGTGTGTAAATGGCTGCACTTACTTAAGAAGCGTAAAATTAATTACATAGCAGTCATTCACATGCTTCCTCATAAAGATCTCCCTTTCCTTCCAAAACATCTTAGTCCCCGGTACAAACTTCTTTCTATACAATACAAGAAAGGAGAAGTATTTCAGATTATTACAGCTCTGTGGTTCCTAATCATGGAACTCTTCAACCGGAAAGGTTTGGCTGGTCCTCTTTGAAAGGCATTTCACCAAAGGGCAATACCCATCCTGTGCAGAAAGGTGTTTATGTTATCAGAGATAAATATATGTTTTCATGCAATGCCTCTCTTCTATCTGCTGCACCTTTCGCTGTTATTTTATTTTATGTCTGATTGTTGTTCAGAATTATATTGCATTTTGTGTTTGGTTTAAATTGTTATTAATCAGTCTGACAAGTACAACCTCTGTATTATTGGGGGCTATGTTCTCAGGCTTTATATCAGTGGTTCTCAACCTTCCTAATGCCTCAACCCCTTAATACAGTTCCTCATATTGTGGTGATCCCTTAAAAAAAATTATTTTTGTTGCAACTTCGTAACTGTAATTTATCTACTGTTATGAATTGTAATGTATATATCTAATATGTAGGATGTATGTTCATTCACTGGACCAAATTCGCCACAAATACCCGATATGCCAAAATTTGAATACTGGTGGGCTTGGAGGGGTATGTGATTCTGTCATTTGGGAGTTGTAGTTGCTGGGTTATGTATGTCACCTACAGTCAAAGAGCATTGTGAACTTCACCAACAATGGATTTGAACCAAATTTGGCACACAGAACTCCCACAGCCAACAGACAATACTGGAAGGGTTTGGTGGGCATTGACCTTGAGTTTTGAAATTGTAGTTCACCTACATCCAGACAGCACTGTGGACTCAAACAATGATGGATCTGGACCAAACTTGACACAAATACTCAATATGCCCAAATGTGAACACTGGTGGAGTTTGGGGAAAATAGGCCTTGACATTTGGGTGTTGTAGTTGCTGGGATTTATAGTTCACCTACAATCAAAGAGCATTCTGGACCCCACCAATGAGAAAATTGGGCCAAACTTCCCACACATAGCCCCCATAACCAAAAGAAAATACTGTATTTTCTGATGGGCTTTTTCAAACCCTCTGACACCCCACTCATTACCCCCCAGGGGTCCCGATCCTCAGATTGATAAACGTTGCTTTATATGGAAACACAAATGGATATTTGTACATTCTATTGAAATGAAGGGCTTTCAGTCCAAGAATATTATAGACCTAGAAAATGCTTAGACAGGATATATTTTGCCAGATGTGGATAAATAAACGTGCCGGTATTGATTTCGCAAATACATGTGTTATAGAGTAAACACCAGATAGGACTCTGCATTTCCATGTGTGTATGTGAGAGAGAGAATAAACAAATGAATGTAATCTCATCATTTCTGAAAGTGAATGCTCTCCATTTCTGAAGTGTTCTTCCTGCTACCGATTATAATAGCTATACAAATCTGTGAGAGACACATGTTTTATTGTTCCTATTAGGAAATGAAACCAAACCCCTCACCCCATTAAAATGTTTCTGAAACAATGTCTTCTGGGAACTGAAATTCTTCTAAGGGCCTTTTAACCCAAAGTTTGTTGCCGGGAAGATGTGATATCACCTCCTCTGCCCACTCTCTCTAATGGTATTTGGACTGCTGTGTAATCCAAATATCCTATGAAAGCATCGCCTACACACTTCACTGTAAAAATGTAGCCAGGCAGGTATAAGCAGACCTAACAGATAGATATTTTGTGATGAAAGTAGCCATAAGAGGCATTTTTTCCTGCCTGTCTGCACTTCTAAGAACTCCACCCGGCACTTAAAATTGCTTTTCTTTTCATTTTATATTTATTGTTTTCTGTTTTGAGATCTAGGTCTAGTTGCATGGTTCCAGGAAAAGAGCTCTTGTTCCATCATATATTTCTTCAAAAAGTGGTGACGAGAAAGCAGGTTAATGTATTTCTTTCTGCTCTCCTCTCACCCATCTGGATTTAGCAGTACTTCTTGCAATTTTTGTAAACTTTTCCAATTATCTTAACTTTATTTGGTGTATACAGAAATTTCAGCCATTCCTGGATAAAAGGAATGTCCATATCCAGAGGCATAAATAGTACCTATTTGTGGGAGTTGGCAAGAATTGGAGAGATTTATCATCTCCAACTTCCTAAAGACTTATGGTTAGCCATTACTGGAAACCAGATAATGGACTGGATGGAACACTTTTGTTGTATTAAAACATCCAGATTCCGATTTTAAAGCAAGCCAGATTTACACAAAACAGGCAATTTGGAAGCAAAAGAGAGAAAGGTTAACAAAAAAGAAGGGAAAACAGAGGAGATATGGAAGAGTGGAGCTCCTCTCCAACCTAGCTACATACAGGGGAAAAGATCCAGAGTGTTTGGAAGTGGATGCAAGAATAAAATTGTCATAAACAGGCACAAAATAGCTTGTAAATATATGCTAACCCAGATATCTAGTAAAGCAGAGCAACAAATCATGTCCTCATCTTATACTCTCCATATGAAGTTGCACAATGTCATGGCCAATCCAATTATTTTGGCACCCAATGCCAAAGATGCCATAAACATAAACATCTCACTCACATCCCTAGCAATCAAATGCAAGGGTTTCAAAATTCAGATTAGTGGCTAAAGCAGCCAATCACATTCTATTCATCAACAAGGTCAACTAAATAGATCAGGTATGGGCAAACCCAGGTCCAGGGTCAGTTGCGGCCTCTTAGACTCTTTCCTTAGGCCCTCCTCTCTTTCATCATTCTAGCCTTCCTTCCTTTTCTGTTTCCTTCCTCCTTCCCTCCCTCCTTTCCTTACCTCCCTCTTTCTCCCTTCCTCCTTCCTTTCCTTCCACCCTTTCATTCTTCCTTCCTTCCCCTTCCTTCTCTTTTGCCTTCCTTCCTTCCTTCCTTCCTTCCTTCCTTCCTTCCTTCCTTCCTTCCTTCCTTCCTTCCTTCCTTCCTTCCTTCCTTCCTTCCTTCCTTCCCCTTTGTTTTTCCTTCTTTTTTCTTTTCTTCCTCCCTCTCTCCCTTCCACCTTTCATTTCTTCCATCCTTCTCTTCCTCCACTTCTTCTTCCCTTTCTTCTCTTTTTCCTTCCTCCTTACCTCCTGGGGGATGTTTAGCTGGGAGAAGAGAAGGTAGAGAGGGAACATGAGAATCACGTTTCAAGATTTTAAAAGGTGTCTGACTTTTTGCTGCTCTAGAGACCAGGGCACAAGGGAGCAATGGGTTCAAATGTCAGGGAAAGAGATTTGACTGAAAAGATTGGGAAGAGCTTCCTGACAGTAAGAGTTGTTGGAGAATGGCATAGACTACCTGGGAGTGTGGTGGAGCCTCCTTCTCTGGAGGTTTTTCCACAGAGGCTGTCTATTGGGAGTGGTTTGATTGTGCCTTCTTGCTTGGCAGGGCGTTGGACTAGATGGCCCTTGGGGGACTCTTCCAGGTCTCTGAGCCTATATCAGGAGTAGGCAATGTGGGGTCTAATGGATACACCTTTTCTTTCCCGCTGACCATCTAATTCTGACCAAGGCTAACCCTTTTGGGATCCAAACATTTCCTGTCTTTCCTTCATTTTCTGCCTCAGAAGGAGAAGAGAAAGGGGAGGAAAAGGCAGGGAGGGGGCTTGGGGAGAACCCCCTCCTTCCTGGCCCAGCCACCCCACTCCAGCCCGCCATGCAGCCCCCAAGTTAGAAAGTTTGTCCATGCCTGGTATAGATCCAACAGGACTTTCTTTTGGGAATATTCTTCATTACCAAGTGGCTAGAAAAATTCCAGCTCTTCAGCACAGAAACAGATGCCGGAGAAAAGTAAAACCTAAAGGGATGAGGACCATTATATTTATTCCTATGTCTCCCAGAATATAGTCATTCTCTTCCAAATAAGAGTTCCATCACCTCCAGTGAAAATTTCCTTCATGTCCACATTTCAATAATTGAGCATTTATAAACATAGTTTAAGCATCTAAAGAAAAGGGGCAAACAAAGTTATCAAAGGAATGGCAATAGATGAGTATTTATGAATGACAACGTCTTAATTTCTGTAATGCTAGAAATTTGGGGACTGAAGGAAAATGTCATTGAGGGGACAGATTTTGTATTGCAGGAGGAAATGTCTTAATATCACTCCCTAGAAATTGATGGGTCATCATGTTTGTGATCTTACAATCAAGGACATTGCACTAAAGATAACATGTAGCTATTTACGGCTCCTAGGGTATGGGGATTAATGTTAAGCTCACGACTGTGTGTTTTCTGCTAATCGATTTCATTTTGTTTCAATGCAAAGCCCTGATGTTTTTAGATATTAGTAACTGTTCGAATGTTATTTGTTAAATAATTGGCAACTATTTCATAATAAATTAACAGTTAATCATTATCAATCATGTGGCTATTTTTATCTATCAGGATCAATATAATTTTCAATATGATCATAAATTGGTTTTGTCCAGAGCAGTAGCTCCCAGACTATGGCCTTCCAGATTAAATGGATTTGATCTTCCAGAATCTCTGATCATAGATAATCTTCGAGGGGCCTTTTGTGTGTTGAAATCCCAACATCTGGTGGATTAAGGCTGAAAACCACTGATCTAGAGGATACTTTAAAACAGGGATAGGGGGCATTTAGGCATCCAGCAGTGGCAAGCTGAATGAGATGGTGAATCTATTTGAGATTTCATAATAATAATAAATAATAAAACTTTATTTGCATTCCGTCCTATAACCCCTGGGGGACTCAGGGCGGATTCCAACAAACAAAAAGGCAAACATTAAATGCCTCAATAACAGTAAATACGAATATAAAAACCCAAGATAGCCCCACATAAAAAGCAACTT